AAGAATATATAATATATTAATTGTCAATATGAAATTTATTTCAACTAAATAACAGAATAATCTAAATACCTTGCACATTTTGTCCTGGCAATGTGCATGTCCTAATTCAACATGTTCAATATTCATTGCAAGTAGGTGTAAATTCTGAAAACAATTTTATTAAATTTCTACACTACATTAGTTCTTGACATGTAAGCACCATTATGTATATATTTCATTTCTCCTGGTTATTACAAATGCATATGTCAAAAAAACAAGAAACAGTGATAATGAACTTGGAGATACCAAGGGAATCAAAGGTCCACTAGCAAGTAATTTCTGTGAACTTTAATGATTGAGGCGCGTTAATTAACATTACTATTCACAGGTAACGATATAAGATTGGTATTTCCCTTGTGACTTGGTTGAAATTAGCGTTGCATCGGATATCAAATATATGCCATTATAAAAGAAACTCTGGATGAATGTGTCAGTCGAGGTCTACCTTTTCATACAATTAATAGGATAAGTATTAATTATTTAAATATTTGCTAATTAGCTACAATTTAATCTTGTGTGGTTTTCAAATACTAGTGGAAAATAGTGGCAACAGAGATGAAAAACATAAAGCAATTATGGTAGATAAGCTTATAAAACATTATGATGATGATTAATGATTTTATTTATTTATTCTTTCTTTACACTGTAGGCACTTTCAGTACTATGGTTTTCAAAGTGGTACAGTTTAAACATAACAAAAATATATACAATATATATAATTAGATTAATAAAATTTAAAATAAAATGATAGTGATGATTACATATAATGATGAAAGTGATGATTAACGATGATGATAATGGTGATGATGATGACAATGAAAACAATGATGATGAAAACTATGATGTTGATAATAGCAATGGTAAGCATGATGATCATCATCGTCCTTATCAACATCATCTTCATCACCATCAAGCAAGTACAATAATACGACTGTTTAATAATTTTTTACTTATTAGAGCATTTTATAGTGCTTTTATACAACCATACACAATGTGCAAACACCTCCTCTCCCTGGGGGTATTACTAATCATCCATGAATATTCAGCATGTTTTAGAGTAAATTGCAACAGAAAAAGATTCATATATAATGATGATAAATGGAACTCATGATAAAATTAAATATAATACTGTTGTTAAAATTTAGTAATAGTACACTTAAAATTAGTACAACAGGACACTAAAGTATATTTAATAGCATTTCTAAAATCAATTTTATATAAAAAAGCATATGCTATATTTAGTGTGTAAATAGCATTAGCCATTCTGCTTTTCATCCTATTATTGTTTTATCTTTGTCTTCGAATTGAGAATTGTTTTTTTTTATTGATCATAAAAATGTTCAAAACACCAACTAGAATGCTAATAAACCCATAATTGTGCATATAGATATATGGCATAAACCGATATTAGAAAGAAACGTATTGATTGAGATGCGTGGTCAGACGTGAAGCATTGAATGTTATGTGCCTTCACTACAATGACCTTTGATTTCAAGTTACTTATGCACTACTACTACTTGATTCTATGTAAGCCCTTCAGTTTCTCATTACAAGAAATAACTCAACATTTCAACAGAATTGCATGCAAATTTTAAGGAGACCCCAACTCACACAAAAGCCGATAATATACATCTAAAAGGATTATGGATCTAAAAGGCCATCTACTCAATATTTATAGGAATGGGGAAAAAAATTTCTGAAATTTCATTAAAAAATATCTTCTAATGAAATCCAATAGACAAATAGGCAACAACTACTTCCAAGTGTTTTAAACAGAAATGGGATGTTGAACATTCTGTTGATTAATCGTATCAGGTATTGTACATGCTCGTGTCTGTTATGGTCTAAAAAGATATTAAGCAATTGATCTATGGACAAAGATTTTTATATGATTTATTACTTAATATTTTATTATTTTATAATGATTTCAAGCATTAACATAAAGGGTCAGCTTTACTACATAGGCGATTTTTATATAGAAAATTTACATAACACTTATTTAATGTGGGTTCTTTTTTATGTAGGAGTTTTACAAAGTCTCTTTACATAAATCTCTTGACATAAAAAAGAATGTTGCCCAGAAGGGTACTGCAATAATTTTGTGGTCTACAACTGCAAATTAACTGCACAAAAAGATTAATACCTTTTCTATGGTCGAACTTGATTTAAAATATAACTATTAATACTTTCTTACTAAAAATTGTACAGTATTCATTTAATAGCAAAATAGAAATGTAATTAAGTATTGCTCCACTGTGTAAATTAATTAATTATAATTTTTGTTTTCTTTAATTACTTGTTGAAAAGTTCAGACAGATATTTGTTTATAATTATCAAAAATGGGAGGGGGAGAGGGTGGGGAAGTAGGGAAATTAAAAATCATATGATAATTTTTTTTAGTTAATGAATCATTTCAGTGTTCACTGATGACCTTGACGTATCTGCAGATTAATTCACATCAAAAGAAATTGTTGAAATTGAAATCCAAACAGCAGTTAGAATTGCCTGGGAAATAATCAGCAACAAAGTCTTTATTACCATCAGATTGCTCTTCGTTTGATTACTGGACATGGGTTTGTTTTACTTTTTGGTATAGTACTATGATTATACAGTATATTAGAGGAAGTACCACATATGTTTGAATTTACAGTATCTATGCCTACGAAAATGTAAACACCCTGATCCAGAGCAACTTGTAATTGGCTGTGGAGTTCATCGCATGCAACCAGGGGAAATTTCAATGATTATGTCAAATTCTCTTCTCGAGCCAGCAAATCCTGTCTGAAAAACCAAACCAGCCCCAGACCATCAAAATGCTGACATTTTTTCAATGTTAGAATGCTTCAGCTTCCCACAGGTTTTCTTCCCTAGACCCCACCACAATACCTAGCATGGTCATAGACTGGGGGTGCAAAGGTGTTAAAACACTAAATATCACCATTAAGTTTTCATTGGAATAGGGATTTAGTTCCACATTCTCAGTTTTTGCACCCCAGCCTGTTTTTGCACACTCCAGACCAAAATTAGCCTACGCGGCCTCTATCTAGACACCCCTGGTTGCCTAAATCCCATGAAACTCTTCCCTTGCCTAAGATTATTACTAACACTGTGTACGCCTACATTTAATGTAGGGCGCTGCAAAAACATAGACAATTCTGAATGTGGTAGATTTCAGATGCTTGCTTGGTCACACAGATGCACTAGACTAGCAACTCATAGGTTTCTTGCCAATGACATTCTACCCAAAAGCAAGATATATCAAAACAACAAAGCAATACACTATGTGTGGATTTACAAAATTCAAATTCCAAGAATAAAAAAAGGTATGTATAATAAAAAAAAAAAAAAACCTGTAGAAAATGTAAAAGAAAAATGTACTATTCAATAACTACTTAAATTTTGTATTTTGTACAGTATTTTAATATAGGCCTACTGTATTTGACTAAGATGATAAAAAAAACTGAGTACTCGGTCTGACAGTTGTATTGTAATGATGACTTGTGCCGGCATTAGATCACACGCAAGGATTTACTTTTTTCAGAATTGAAAATGATGTCAAATATGTTCTAAAATAAGATATCCTTGACAGGTAATGCAACGTCTAATGCTGATTTGCATGCAGACACAACTCTTGATTCCAACAATCCGAGATGAGCAATAGAATTTTCCGTAATTTTTGACAACCTGACAATATGATTAGGAGCTTATAATGAAACCCATTTTAACTGTGATTAAGTTAACTTTTAGGGATCCTGTTTTATGACCAGTTTTGTTTTTTTTTGTTCTTGCAATTTTTGACTTATTGACTATCTGTGCAATTAACATTTTTATAAATTAATCAACTGGTGAGATAAACAAAGCCAACATTGTACAGAATATACCCAAGAATTTGACAATTCATGGCTGGCAAAGTGGTGGAGCCAGTTGGATGGGGGGAGGGGGCTGAGGAAGAGAATCTGCCAAGGACAGCTGACCCCCTCAGTAATTCGTCGGGAGAAAAAAAAATTCTGTTTTTGTGAGACTAGAATATAAAATTTGAGACTATAAAATTAATAGTCTTTCAAATCTTTCATTGATTTCCAGAGGATTCACCCAGCTGCTGAACCTTACCTCGAGAAAATCCTAGTGGTGCCATGGTAATTTACTGGGCCGGGGGTTTAGCATGTCTAACAGGAGACGATTCTTTTTATTGATAAGGGAGGGACTTTTTTTTTGGCAAGAATATTGTAAATATTCTATAAAAACTGGTTTAATTTTGTTGCTTTTTAAAGAAAATGTATTTCCAGTCACAAAATTCCATTGTTTTTTCTTTTATGCTGTTGAAATAAATGATGTGGTAAAATTTTTTTTTTTCATTTTCGCATCAATATTTCCCTCATGTTTTATGCAGGCGGGAGTGATATAATCTAACAATTTCTTCTATGTGCCCTAAGTGTAATTTGCGGTCTATGAACAAGTTACTTCTACATCAACCGAAATCGCATATTCATTTGAAAACTGAGCCTTTTCAGTTGCTGCTCCACGTCTGTGGAATGACATTCCCAACGGATCAGGCTTTGCCATACCATTGGTTCTTTTAAATAATCATTAAAATCATATCTCTTTACTGTACTGAGGCATATGGTATATAACTGGTTTATAAAAAAAAAAAAACCAAAATAAAACAAAAAACAACAAATGACACTAGTTTCTGTTAGCGCCTTGAGCACTTGGAGTGGATTGGCGCGCTATATAAATCATTTATATTAATATTATTACCTTAGGCCAACTTTAGGCTGCTTCATGATACTGTAAGATTGTGTGGTAAGCCGATCTGTTTCAGAGTTTGGTTGTACCACAAATCCTATACACCACTGTGGTCGTACCAAGGCCTACTGTACGCTAAGTAGGCTCAGACTGAAACCAAGGCCTTCTGTATCATAAAATGCAATGTTACAAAAACTTCTGGCTCATTTACTCACTTACTGTAGGCCTATGTGTTTGCAATTCCAATTTCCAACCCCTGGCTCAGTGTATCAGACTTGAAATGAAGTTTTTTCCTCTTCTTAGTTGCACCAACAGTGACCTGCTGTCATGTCATACTTTGGAGAAATCACATGACCAGTGACACACTGACAGTTCCAGCATACGCGAGCCGGAGAAAGTCAATTGTTTAAATTTTCTCTTTATCCACCCCACATGCACCAAGGATTCATAGAATCACTGTCCGACCTGTAGGCCTATCCTTAGAAACAGATCCAGAGAGAGCGGGGGATAGGGGCCAACAAAAAACCAGAAGGCAGTTTATAAAGACGTATGTCCCATGAAAAATACCCCAAAAATAATTTTTGAAATTAACTTGCTCATTTTGAAGTAATCAAATTGAACATAGAAATTAGTGTATTTTTGAAAAATGTTTACCCCTAACGTTACAGCTAAAATGATAAACATTTGCAGTCACCAGAGGTGTTTATATTATTTTTATCGTTATCTAATATAACAATTACGGTATACACATTTTAAATTCAGTAATTTCTATGCTCAACTTAATCATTTGTATGTTACTACAAAATTTCAAAATTATTTTTAATATTTATTTTTTTCATTTTCAGGGGAGAAAAACATATTTAAGAAAATAGAAGGAAATAACAAAAAAAAAAAAAGAAAGAGGGGAGCACGGTACTCCAAAACAAGCTAATTTTTTATTTAAATTCCAGGTACCAGTGTCTCACATACAACCCCTTCGAGCACCCAGTGAATCTTCGTCGCATGTCCCCTAATAGATACCGTACAGTATTTGGATCCGCTCCTGGACAATCACTTTCACCATATCTCCATGACAATATAAAGTGGAGGTTTTTTTGGTCGTGAGAACAAATCCGGAAAGACTGACACGAATTTAACCCAGCATCATGGGATGAGAAGGCAAGCATCTTAAGCCGTGGTGGCGTAACAGACGGGGGAAGGGGCTGACTACCCCACTTGACGGTTTTTACCGGGCTGAACTAGCCATCGTACCGGGCTGTGTAATAAGAGAAAAGAAAGAGGGGAGAGGGAGGGAGGGAGGGAGGGAGGGAAAGAGAAAGGAAAAAAGAAAAGAAAAGAGAAGAGAAAAATAAAGACAAGAGTAAAAAGGAAGATATCATAATGACCAGACTCACAACACCCTGCAACCTCTTCTCCACTTAACTCCTTTGATATAAGCTGCCAGATGGCGTAGGCTAACCACCGGGGAACAAGGGGAAAATATCTATCTTTGGAAAATCTTTCCCACCCCTTTATAAATGCCCTTTTCATCCCCTGAAAGTGCCTAAAAATCTAAAATTTCGCGCGCTTCGCGCGCATTTCTTGTCAGAGTATAAGCCAATTTCCTCTAAAAATTGCACATTTTATGGATTTTGGATCAATTCCGACGAAATTAGAATTAAAAACACTGGGGGACAAGAGGAAAATATCCATTTTCCCCACCCCTTGATAAATGCTCTTCTCATGTTCTGAAATCCCCAAATTTCGCGCGCTCCATGCGCATTTCTTGTCAGAGTAGGCCAATTTCCTCTAAAAATTGCACATTTTAGGGATTTTTCCGACGAAATTAGAATTAAAAACACCGGGGGACAAGGGGAAAATATCCATCTTTGGAAAATCTTTCCCCATCCCTTGATAAACGCCCTTTTCATCCTCAGAAAGTGCCTAAAATCCTCAATTTTCGCGCGCTTCTCGCGCATTTCTTGTTACGGTAGGACAATTTCCTCTATAAATTGCACATTTTAGGGAGTTTTGATCAATTCCGACGAAATTAGAATTTTAAAACACAAAAACTTTTTGCGCGCTTCGCGCGCATTTATTAGGGTTTTTTTTTAGGGTTATACTTTTAAGTTATTTAAACACATAATAGTCCCAAACTCAAGAAGATTAGATTTTAAGATAGATCGTTTTAACCTAAAAGAAGGGCCTCAAATGTGTATTGATGGTGAAAGAATATGTTTGTAATAAATAAAACCATAATGAAAATGCTTAAATTTAGTTTCAAACACACGTGTGTGGCCTATATTATAAATAAGATAAGCCCTATGTCGTATTGTTTTCTAAATAGGGAGGGGTGGGGTGGGTATGATAAATTACTAACCGGAAAATTATTACCTTTGCCCCCCCCACCCAGACCCAAGACCCCTGTTACGCGCCTGCCGTGGTGAACCATAGCAGGAGCTCTTAAAGTGTAAGAGGAGACACCTCATGAGGCTGAAGCATTATTGTTTCAGAGGGGTGGTTTTGGTTTATCCATTCGCTAGAAAAGGAGGGTTTGACCGAACCATATAGAAATTCACCCTGCACCAGTGCATGCAGACAATACCGTAGTGTCAATTGAATGCGTACACGCCCTTTAATTTCACCTTGTGGAACAACAACACATAATTACCGTCAAAATGTCTTATTACGTGATCATAAAGACTTATTGATCCAAGCCAGGTTATAAAAACTGTAATTCCACTGGAGTAGAACATTAATAGGATGTGTTTATTCGAAGAAGGCGTTTATTCGAATGAAGACGGTATATAATATATGATGATACTGTTTTACGATGATAGTTATAGGACTAGGACCAGTGGCGTAACGCCTTTGCGCTCTCGTGCGGCGGTCCGCAAGGCCCCCGAATTCTAGAGGCCCCGAAGGGGCCCTACCCATAGGTAGAAAAGGGGCCCACTCTCGCCCGGGACCCCACCAAATTTGTCAAAATATTATTTAACTGGAGATAAAAATTTTGTCTGTGAAGTGTTATTTCCGGCCATCTAAAGGTGCCTACCATATTCATAAATTTTCTTACCTCAGCCCAAACCATGGTGGTTCTGAGGGGGTATAGACTATCCCACTGTGAAAGTCCCTCCCTGGCCTCAATTTTCTGGATCCATATTATACCGTACCATTTATTCGTCGTTAACAAATTTAGAATAACAATGCACATATAAATCCCACGATGGAATTGGTGACCGGGACCCAAAAAAGTGCCCCCATTTTCAGAAATACGCAGGGGCCCCCGCCCCATCGTTACGCCACTGACTAGGACTATGTAACATGTGATAGTGATATAAAATATGATATAATTATGATACCGTATATAATATATGATGTTATATACATATGATAGGCCTATATGATCTGACATTACGATATAATGTAATGTGATGTTATGTTATTATGGTATTTCATATGCAAGATAAAATCCACACCAGCATGTGATTGTGTATGACAGCATCGATGATGATTAGCTTTTTACTCCCCGTGTTGTTCACATGAGCAGTGTGTCCGAGAAGTAACCTTCTTGTTCTGAAGACCCAGACATGTGCAACTGGTGCTGAACTATAATGGCCACCGCCTCCTGTTCAAATCCCTCACTGGGATATTAGGAGGATAACCAACCAAGTACCAAGTACGGGTCAGCAAAGTCCAAGTCAATAATTATTTTTTTAAAAATAAAATAATAAAAATCATAGACTTGAGTAGCGCATCGAGGGTCTCAACAGCGATCAAGCACAGAGAGTCTGAACTTTTCCATTCTTCAGCATCGTACCGTACTTTGGACAAGAGTAACGGTGTTTTTTATCTTAATACCTTTTTCATTAAAGACTTGTTTTTACATACCGTAAGTTATAAAAACTTTAACCTGTCTGATCAATTTATTATCCACCCACCCACCTCCACCTCCTTCCCACATCTCCATCGACTTGTAAAGCATCTAAAGCAACCCGAACTAAGAAATACCTGGTTGGTGTCTGACGAGGGATATCTTTCCACCATATGTTTTACTATTTGTATTGTAATGTATTTTGTATTGTTTTATGTAGCTTGTATGTTGTTCACTGTATTTCATCTTCGCAGGACCAGCGTTACCATCTTGTCTGTATATATTATCCAGCCTAATGTGTTAATTAATAATTAATAAATGGTGCCGAATTATGAGCTTTTCACACCCTCAGCCTCATAGATCTGAAGAGAGAATTGAGGTCCCAAGAGAAAAGTCACCTATATGGATCAGCCTTATGGTTTAAACAGGAACTAACTACAGTATTCATTACCCACCGCAACAAATCAATTCATAATCAAAGACGATATAATGAATATAACCATGTTATGATGTATGCACAGTCTATGAAATTCGTTAAGGCGGAAAATCTGAAAAATGAAATGGCATCGAATAAATTGTTATTAATTCCAGCAATTGATTTTTGTTGTGTTCATATTCAAGCTCATAACTTCTTTATAAAAGCAGATTTTGGTGGTTAGGCCTACTTGTAATACATCCGTGGTGAAATTCATAAAGTGTAGTGAGTTATTGCATCACATCAAAAGGAAATACTGAGGACAGAAGCAGCAGCTGTGTCGTGTCTTTCTTGTAGGGAAAGGCGCAGTATCCGAAAGAGGGTCAGACTGCAGGGTAGAAGTCCTGGTGGGGTCCTTCATCTTTCTTTTGGTAATGAGCAAACATATTAATATATTTCCTCCATAGTATAAGGTTTTGTGCCAAAGCAGTATAGGATTACTTATTTTATTGTCAATTGTTTTGCCAGAATGAATAAAATAAAATAAAATAAAAACATTATGATTGCTCTTGTCTAACAAAAACAGGTAGGCCTTCAGGGGCGGATCCAGATGTTTTCTGACGCGGGGGAAAATATGAAGTCCACGCCGCCACGCCCACCCACCAAATAAGTGGTACAATCGTGTTCTCCTTTCTCCCACTGCTGGATCACCACTGAACTCATGGGTGCACTCCCTTTTCCCCCTTTCCTCCCTTTAGCTCAAATATTTCTTCTTTTTTATTTTTCAGCTTGACCGACGGAGGGAGGGGCATGGGGCAGGGGCTCTCATGGCCCCCGCTGGATCCGCGCCTGGCCTTATCACTTTTTTAAAAACTAGCTGGCAAGAAAAAAAATGCAGTAGACTAGTTTTTTTTTATCTTCGAAAATCCCAGTGCTAATATTCATCCTAATATGATTTGCATGTCACAATATAGGCCTAACAATCATTTTGATGTAATTTTTATTCACCACACGATCTATAATGAAAATCACCAATAATGATTATGTCATTATATTGATATTACATATCTAT